TCGGCCTGCGAGAGAATACCCCTGGAGTATCGCTGAAAAGAGGAAAATACGGTACTCTTCACGCTTTTTTTTTTAAAATACCTTTCCTAACAAAACACGGGTGCACTGGAAGGCTGAAGCAGAATGCGGTTCATCTGTTTCACCCCGTGGCTTGGACAAGAAGTTTCCCGGTGCACCAGCCAGTGTGGCAGTTTCCCTGGGGCGCCTCCAGCCGCAGGAGTGTGGCCGGGGGCTCTTGGGTGGCGCGGCGGAGTACCAGACTGGGGGAGGAATAGGTTGAATCGGAAGGTGTTAGTCAGAACTGGGAATTACCTGCAGCAGCCGAGCGCAGCAGTTTCTGGCTGGCTTGCTTTGCTTTCGCCTCAGGGCCTTGTGTTTTTACGGGTCGCTGTGGGTTATCTGTGATCAGTAACCCCCCTGTGCTATGTGAGTGCTGCTGGCCTTGAGTCTTCCCAGCAGTTTTTCCAAAACACAGCGTTCTCTCTGGTGTGGCTCATTGCAGGTGGAAAGAAGGTTTCCAAGACCATTTCTTCTCTCTCTATTTTTTTTTTTCTTTCTTACCCTCCATATCCCTTTTTCAATTGCTGATGTGAGCTGTGAGCAGTTCCTGCCCCTCGGGCGGTAACCCCCAGCAGGGAGGGCATTGCAGAGGGCTTGCTTTGCCCCGCCTGTGTTTCTCTGCTTGCTGTCTCCTGTCTTACTGCCAGGCTGAAAGCTCTTTCGAGGAGGGCGGGTAGAGTTTGGACATTGTCAGGAAACAGCTGCACCCTTAGGTCAGGTACTTTGTGGTTATGAACCAGGCAAGAGGTGAAAGTACAATTAATGCCTGGTGCTGCACAGAGAACAAGAGCTCTCGCTTGCAAGAGCAGTGGGAAATGAGTTACAGCCTGGCCCTGGAGTGAAACCCTACAGCCTGTACACAAGGAACAGCAGATAATTTAGGTCATGGTAAAGTGCTTGATACATTGATTTTTAAAAATTTTTATTAGAAGTTGGGTACCTAAAGCTCAGTTCAAGGAGACAGCACTGCAGGTCCATGGCCATGGTGCGTGTTAGGAATGGAGCCTGAACATCCCAAGCTTGTTTACACATTCTGGCGCTGAGAGATTCTGGTGGGGCTTCTTGGCACTCCTGCGGGTCGGTCATCTGTGTGTTGCGTGGCAGCTGCCAACACAAAACACTGCATAGAAACGTCCTGAAAGCCGAATGCTCAGCTGCTGTCGCACAGATGAATACGCAGCCCACACCTCTGTTTAAAGCGCAGACCGGATGGTTCTGCAGAGTGTTTAAAACCTGGCACGCTGCAGCCAGCGCTTCCCTCAGAATGACATCTGAGAGTACCTCTGTGTGCACTGACAGATGAGGTTGTCTGCTGCTCGCCTGACTGTTGCATGGAGGGTTGAATTCAGCTTCCTGTCAAAACGGTGATTTTACTGTCAGCTGAGAAGGATGTGGAAACTTTGTCAGCACGCATGGCAGTGGCATGGTGTGGCAGTGAGCCACTTACACGCTTCGGGACGGTTGTGTACAAAGGCTTTTAAAACTGAAACCTTTGTCTTCTACTCCAGCACAGTGTCATCATGGGTGCTGGTCTGCTGTCCCTCCTCAGCGGCATCAGAGGCTGGGCTGGTGTTTGCTACCCGCCGGCAGGCCTGAAGCTGCATTTCTGGGAAGTTTTGTCTGGTGTTAAGGTTTCTTAAAAAAAACCTAGATGCAGCTAAGCCACTCATAATTCTCCTTGTTGCTGTCATTGACCATACAGCAGTTTTTAAAACGCAAATGTATGCATGTGGTATGAAAATCTGTAAGTGAGAATTGATGAAAAATTACAAACGGGTTGTGGCACATCCTGGGTGTTTACTTACAGCCTGTTGTTAGAATGGCACACCCCCCACATGTTGGCAAATACTTTCTCACATTCATTGAGTTGGCACTTTACAGTGTATTTTTCAAACTGCTGTAAGAACTGCATAATTAAAGGTGAAAAATTTTAATAACATTTGTTTTCTGTTATGTACTAGAATGGGATGTAAAAGTTGAAATTATAATATCCAGATGAAATATTTAAGTCTCCTTATAGCTTTTGGTGGTTGTGGGTTTTTTTTGTGTTTTTTTTCCCCTCAACGTATTTTGACATCCTGATTTGGAGATCTGTGAATTTTCTACAAAAAAAGAATATCTATTCTGAACAGCTCTATTTATAACATTAAAAGAGGAAAGCTAAATATTTTTGAGAATTTTTTTGAGAGCCCCTTGGTGAAGATGCTCTGGTCAGAAGCTTTAAGGAAAGAATCTTCTCTTCCAGCCATTTGTAAACATGAAACCATTAATGGCAACTTCCCTGAGATCCCAGGTTCAGCCACATGTCATTTCTGTTTTGTTCTATCATCAAGGGGATATTTTTTTTCCTCCAAGAGAGGCAAGTGTGTTCTGCGAGAGGACTCGGTATGTTAGCATTAACTTGGGGTCGTGGTTACCAGGAAGAACAGGTAGCGTGTGTTACTCCGACTTCTAGCACTGTGCCAGCCCTCTGAAGGCAGCAAGCAGGCTCCATTCTGCTAGGCCCTGTTGCATGTGCTGAACAAGTATTTCTTGTGCTCCATAACCCTAATTCTTCATTCTTAGGGACCGTCAGCAGGCTGATATAAAATATTTATCTGGATGGGAGCAGTGGAAAAGAACTAACAGTAAATCACTGAAAAAAGTTCTTAGTGAAGTCAAGGAGTTGTCATCTTACCTGGAGCTTTGGAGACATGATATTCACAGCATAGAAGGTATTTTTGGTCTTCAAGAAGTTACCTGCTTCCCTTAGTACTGCTGGTGTAAAATCCATGATGGGGTGGAAGGAAATGCATTGGAGAAGATTATTAGAAAGTTTTATTTCCATTTCAGTTATATTGCTAAAAGCCTGCAGTACTTAAAACTGGCTTTAGTCATGTGTCTTCAGTTGATATAACTGAAATTATAATCTGCTTATTCTGTGTTTTCAATGATTTTTAATGTCTTAATTATTGGCACATGTTTCTTTTATTCCCAGGGAAATTTGGTACTGGCATCCAGTCCTATTTCTCCTTCCAAAAAAATGAATTTCATAATTTTTCTCCTGATGTTCAGTTCTGTTATCCTTCCCAGCATCATTTATAAATATGGAATATTCAACAGTAGCTTTGCTAAAATTCCTCCAAAGAACATAGGTAAGTGTTCTCTCTATGTACTGTTGTTTGTAAGATTCTCCCTTTCTGTCACCTTCTCCTCCACATCCCAGGATAAAGAAATGCGCTTTTTTTTTTTTTTTTTGGTAAGAACTTGCCATGTTTGAATTAACTTGATCTTGCAGTTTAATGGGCATTGCCTTTTGAGTGACTTTTCCAGCCTTTCTTTTGACAGAGCCTCACTGCACAGTTTATGAACCTAGTGGTAATAAGGGACTTGTTTACTTCTATACTTACCTCAAAGATTTGCTCAGTGGCACTGTAAGTAATTAGATATTTTTTTATTAAGTTTCTGTGTCTCACATAACACGTAAAATGTGAAAACGTTTTGCTCAGGGAATGAAGCTTTGATGATTTTGAAACATAAGGTGTATGCATCGCTGGGGTAAAGTTGGCCTTCATCCTTTATCTGTGGGGAGTTTTCAAACTGGCTTTTACTGAGCGTCCACACGGCCTGGTTGGCCCACACAGCCTGTGCCTCTCCTCCCCAGCTGCTGGACGTCCTGTTTTCTGGAGCATACTGCCTATTGTGCTCTCTGTGTAGGGTCAGTGTTCTAGTCATAGAGCTTTGTGACTGGGGGGGTGGATTTTAGACACCGAGTGTCTGTATCGCAGTTTGGTAGAGGCAGTGGCAGTATTTAGAAGCTACAGACGCTTGTAGCTTGCTGAGGGCCACAGTAGTAATTTTAAATTTACAAAATGGTTGCTTAATACCATGTTGGATTTAACTGAGCAGGTGCTGCTATTGTTACAAATTCTATTTAAACTTCATGTTTTCACAGGGGTTTCTTGAAGTGACAAGTTTGTTTTATGGCTATTACATGGTAGATGCTGTGCAGCTCAGGGTCCTGAGGTACAACCTGCCACTAGCGTATCTGCTGGCTACATTTGCCTACCTTGCATTAAGCCTCCTCTGGATAATAAAAAGGTAAAGATGTTGGTGAGTCACTTACTGCTGCCTTTTGCACAGTTTGCATTGCATCCTTGCTTGCAGGGAGCATGCTGCATTCTAGAACTGTTTTACATGGAAATGGAGAATCTTTTGCTTGAGGAAGCGGTGCCACAGTACCCGTTGTCTATCTTTGGGAAACTGAGCTAGCAAAATAAACAAAAATAAATACATTTGAAGTATTAGTTTTACATATGTAGATATACGTATAAATAAAAGTCCCTCAAACATACAGTCGTTGTTGGAGGATTATCTTTTGGGTGTTTTGGTTGTCTTTTTCTGCCAGCTCTTTGCAGTACCAGAGAAGCCCTGGAAGAGTGAGAAGGTGTGGCTGTGGCTAAGCACAGAGGGAAGTAGCTGCTGTCAGTCATGGCTTCAGCTGACTTGGGTTGCTGCAGAACCTCACACTGAAAGCCTCCCAGAGGCTTTCCCAGAGTTTGCTCGTGAGTGGGGGGTGTCATTTAGTCTTTGATGAACCAGGTTGCTTGAGGTGTGGATTTTTGCTTCTTTGTCCATGGACAAAATATGGGGTTTTTTCTGAATGAAGTAAAGTTGCGTTTTTCTCTAGGTCTGTGGAAGGATTTAAGCAGAACTTGGTGCATGATGAAAATCAGTTTCAGAGTTACTGCAACAAGGTCTTTGCAGGCTGGGACTTCTGCATTACAGATCCAAATGCTGCACAACTGAAACATTGCAGCTTGCAATATGAGCTCCAGGTGAGTAACTTCAGTTTTTCTATGATTATGGTTTCATATAGCTTAGATGGTTAAAAAAGAGAGGTGTATAATTTTGCAGGCCATGGAATAAGGATTCAGGTACTTTATACTGGGGGCAGGGCAACCCACATCCTCTTGCTTTCTAGGTAGCAAGAATTGTGGTGCAACGTGAGAAGGATTAGCATGATGTTGATGGCCCTTCCCTGATCCGCTGGGGACTGAAGCCAGCCCTTAGCTGCTTGTCTTATCTGCCTCTTCCTCATGCTGCAGTCCTGCTTCCTGTGTTATTTGCTACATAATCCAAGAGGAAAAGCTATTCCTAACTGTGGACAAAACCTTTGTACTGTTGGGAATCAGTTTGAGTATTCTGTGTTAAAAGTCTGCCGTGTGGTAGGCAGTAGTTTGGAGAGGAATAAAATTCAGGTGGTACTCTTCATACAATTTGAGGGCATTGTTGCAGTAAGAGGATATTGAAAGTTTTTGACTCTGACACACATGCACGTTCAAAATGCAGATGCAGCTGATTCTTTTTTTGGAGAACTTTAAGATTTGGGACATGTGAATCTGAAAGGCTTTTTTTTGTGAAACCAGTAACTTTTTTTTTCTCTCTGTACACTGGAAGCAGAGATTTGCGTAGTGAAAGAATCACCTTGGAAAAGATACTTCCACTTCAGACCATAAAACAGTAGTTACAGATTTCATAAACTACTGTGAGTTGCTTTCAGCTTTATTAAAGTTCACTGACATCTTTTTTCATCATATGACCAGAGCCTCATCTGCTTTCTACACTTCTGCCTCTAGAACTCATACCTTAGAAGAACTTGCCCCTTTAATATTACTGTCTGATGGAAATAAGTCCTCAGAAGATACCTGGGTGATCTGTGGGCCTGCCCAGGTTAAATTGCCTTCACAGGCAGTGCTGTATTTTCACATCAGCTAAGGTAAAATATATCAAGTTTATGTGACAATCTGCTCAAGGCTGTGCTGTGTTCTGTCTGTGCCGACCCCCAGTTTTCCTTCACAGAGAGTAGGAGAAGGAGGCTTGGGCCGCACTGGTAAGGACTGGTTACTTAGCTGCAGAACTAAGGAGATGGGTGTGCTGCTTTACCCATTTCGGAGTTTAATACCAAGCTCTCTGAGGTCAGTCTCTGATGATAAGCCGGCAAGTTGTCTTTCTGTCCTCAAGGAGATGCGTTACTGATACGGTAGAGATAAGAGGATTACGAGACGCTTGTCCTTGGCTACAGGGCTCTCAGCCTGGGGAGGCTGAGGCCACAGGGGCTTCCAATTCTGCATGGACCTGTTTGTGTCGATGAAAAGGTAGGTTTGTGCCTTTCCAGTTCTGTGTGTTTGGGCAGGCAGTGGAGTGACCCTCCTAGAACACGCTGTGGATTTGCACATCCCAGAGGTAGAAGAGGTGATGGTGGGTGTTGTATGCTGCACCAGAAAACTACGCATCCTTTTTCTTTTGTTTGTAGACAGACTTGGAGGAAGAAAGACAGAAGCGGAAAATAGAGGGCAGGACAATGAAAGAAAAGCTACGCATCTACTCTCTGAGAATATTTATAAATATAATCGTCATTGCAGTTCTATCAGGATGCTTTTATTGTATTTACAGAGCAACTGTCTTCTCTCAAGAAAACTCCAATGTAAGTGTCAGACGTGACGTTAAGACAGATTGAGTCGGGGCCGGTGATTACAGCAAGAGGAACTATTGTGAAAGAGTAAAGTAACTTAATATAGCTCCTTCCATGCAAGCAATATGAAAACGCTTTCTACAGACCTAAAATTTGTTTAGTAGGAGAGAATGAGAAAGATCGAGATGCCTCCCTTTGATCCGGAGGCTTCGGAGTCGTGTGCCTTGGAGCTAATGCAGGTGACGAGAGGCAGCCCTGGCTTCCCTTCCCATGTAACTCACTGATCTGCTGTTATGAGCGCATGTGTTGTCTGGGCAGCGCACTGGCAGAGAGAACTGATGTGGTTAAAACAAACTTCATCATCATCAGTTTCTTGATCTGGTTCCCTGCTCAACTGCAAAAATAAACAGCAAGGGACGGGGAGAGTCAAAATTATGGTCTGTGTTCTGGCTTGAGTTACAGCTCTTTGGGGAGCCAGGAAGGCTTTGAGCATGGAGCGCTTTGCAGAAGAAGAGGTTCATGCATCTCTAGTGGACGGAATCAGGTTGGGTGGGGTTGTTCACCTTTGGCAGGACAAGCAAATGGGAATATCAGTTCAGAAGCAGAGCAACAAGAACAGACAACAGTTTCAACTGTTTTGCAACAGTAATTGACTCCTCTGCAGGACCCCAGGGTTGAATTAGTCCCATGTGGATGAGGACCACACTTCTTCTCTCCCCTCTGTTCATTGATGATGTGATGGGCACTGGTCGTGTGTTGGGAAGGTTGTGCTCATGGTGGACCTAACTCTTACCTTCCGTAAACTGGTAGAGTTGCAGTGAGAGAAGAAAATGGGAACTAAAGAAGTGTTTGTGTCAGGTTTATTGTTTGAGGGCAGAGAAGGAGGATAGCACGACACTGAACAAGTTGAAAAACAGCTTCACTTGCTCTGGGCTTCATGTATAAGGGTTGATATCTTGACCTTGCCTGAATGAGTAGGTGGAGAAGCTTGTTAAGACAGTAGGAAAGTCAGGGGAGCTACTTGGTACCAGTGAGAATAACTTGAGAAGTGTCTGCACTTTGTCATGTATGAAAAAGCTGGTACCCTCAGTGCTGGGCTAGACACCATAGTCGGAGAGCAGCCTTGGCAAGATAAGCCTCTTCAAACAGGTGTTTTGGGGAAGTGCAAGAATACTCCTACCTGGAGGTAGGGAGAGAGTTACTAGTGAAGGGAGCAGGAGAAAGCAAGGGTGTGTAACAGCAGACTGCAGAGATAGGTAGAAGTGGTCATGCTTGTAGTTCCAGATATAGGTGGAGGATGAAGACAGAATGCAAGATGCTACCTGAATCCTGGACGAGAGAGGCTAGTGGGTAGCTGGAGAGAGCAGGATGTCAGGAAGGTATGTTTCAGAGTATTGTCTTTCTCTCACCTCTCCTGTCTTGACAGGATGTCAGCAATATGAACTACCAAGCTAATCTCTTAGTGCAGTATTTGCCTTCCATTGTGATCACATTGGCCAACTTCATTGCTCCTCAGATCTTCTCATTTCTGATCAGATTTGAAGATTACTCACCAGCCTTTGAAATCAAGCTGACACTCATGAGGTAAAAAAGTTTTTGTTGTGGCCTTGGATGTTTCAACAACTTGTTCTTAGTGGATTTTAAGTATTGTAAATACTGAAATACCAAGAAGCAGAGAGGTTACACTCTGCACTGGAGGGCCTGGGCACTGGAAGCCAAGCAGGCATTGTTTGACTTACGTTTAGTTGGGAACTTTAATTTTAAATCTGGAAACAATCTCCTGTTTTGATGACCATATAGTGCAGTCATTTCAGTGTCCAAGTTTTTCTCTCGGTCCCATTTAGCTGTGGGATCTGGACATCTACAGGAACCTGAATAAATGGTCAGTAGAGTAGTTGCGGCTGCAGAGCTGTGGATTCGCACGGCCTTGCGTGCAGCAGTTCTTTGAACGAGCAGATGTGTGTGTACAGCAGTGACTGAAGCATGGCTTTGCGCAAGGCAGAAGTTAAAATTTGGGATAAAAGATACTTCAGGGTGAAAGCACGAAGAACTGGAATTTGGCAGCTTAAAGGCAGTAAGATCTGGGTTGAAGCATCTGAACTCTGTCAAGCCCCTGTGCTTTCTGATTTGGCGAAGTGCCTCTGAAGGGCTGAAGGCACTTGAGAGGGAAATGCTGCACAGAGTTGTCACCTGGCCTCAAACTGTAGTTGAGAGAACCGCAGCCCATTGTGGCTCCAAGATCTGCAACTGAAATGACTGATCTAGGAACAATACTGAGAAAAGAAACAAGGGACTGTAGCCTAAAGCAGGGAAGGTGAAGAGCAATTTAATTCACTACTGAGGAAAGAAATGTGCTTATTATCTAGCTGGCCATTCCATTAAAGCTCTGTATGACCCTTGCGTGTTTCAAGCATTCCTTGGACTCCTGTGCCAGTTGAGCCAGGTATTAGAACGGCATTTTTGGGCAGGTTTGGAATTGGGTTTTGCCTTTCTTCCAGGTGTGTCTTTGTGCGGTTGGCCAGTATCGGTGTTCTCTTGTTCTCGCTGTGGAGTCAGATCTCCTACTGTGCCACCGACAAGTGTAAGGCCTGTGGATACAATTACGAACTCTATCCTGTAAGCAGATTTATCTTGGTCTTTAATCATCTGAACTTGCAAATAGAGATTTGTTTTCCGTTGTCTAGAGCATGTTAGAGCTGGTGATGATTCTTACTGCTCACTGCAAACCAGTGTATCTTGTGTGTGTCTAAAACTCTGAGTAGAACTAGTCCAGTGGCAGATTATCATTAGCGTAGACTTTCTGACTACCGTGAGGGTTGTTTGAGGTAGCTCTGTTCTGAAGACAGTTTGTGTTGCTGCCTTTTGCTCCAGTAAGACAATGGTCTTTCCTCAAAAAAACCCTCAAAACCTCCCAAAAAACCAAGCAAGCAGCAAACAAACAAAACCCAGCCAGAGAAACAAAGTTTGTCATGGAAGCTCTGAAACAATTAAATATTTTAGAAATGGGAATTAAAACAATTTGAACTTTATGGTGTTAACTGACTGAGGCATTTGGTGCTTTAGTGGTGGACAGATGTATCCTTCAGGTGTTATTTAGACTCCTAATGTTTTTCCTGACTTGTTTTTATAGTGCTGGGAATCTGAAGTTGGGCAAGAAATGTATAAGCTGATGATATTTGATTTTATTATAATTCTTGCTGTGACCCTGTTTATGGGTTTTCCTAGAAAGTAAGTATCTCTGCCCTTTGAGCGTTCTTTTGCAAATGACACGGGAAACACGTTTTCTTTTTTCTGTTATTAATTCCCCATACTTCTAACCAGATTACCAGTTTTATTTTAAAACATAAACATATTTCTGGTGGTTTGAGCATTTGTTTGCTATTCAGATGGCTGTGTAGTTTCTGATATTTGAGACTTTTTTTTTCCTCAGACATTTTTCTATTATGTTGTCTAATGCTTAAGTACTGAATATCTGTGAGTTCCAAATGTGATAGACTTCAGCTAAGCTCTGTAATTTCTATTTACAACTAATGAAGTTCTTTGGGTTTAGGTTGTTAGTTACTCATTGCTCTTGCAAGCCAGTTCAGTGGTGTGGATTACAGGAATTTGGAATTTCTGACAATGTCCTGGAAATCATTTATGGGCAGACTATCTGCTGGATTGGAACCTTCTTTTCACCACTTCTCCCCGCAATAGCAACTATAAAATACTTCATCATCTTTTACATTAAAAAGGTAATGAACATGTGATAAACAAACACAAATGAGCACATCTGTCTTTTTATTTTTTTTTTTTGGTAGTACAGATATGCAGTTGATTTTTAAAAAATCCAAAACCCTAAAAACACCCAAAGGTGTGGTGTTCTGGAAGTGAGGTAATGGTATTCCATTTTCTATAGGTTTGTTAGATTTTAAGAGAAGGTAGAATTCTACTTTCAAATCAAGCAAATCAACATTTTAATAACTACCTCTTTGATTATTTGTCTCTTTTTTAATAACATCTTCTTATGTAATAAAGCTAGTTTGTAACACCTCTCTGCAATAATCTATTTATTGGCATGTTTGAGAATGGAAAATTCAGTTGGTGGGGGAAGTATACTTGGGCATATGTATATAGATGTACTGGTAACAGTCTTGCTCAATTTCCCTCTTCAGATCAGTTTGATACATACATGTAAATCTTCAGCTAGGCCTGTCAGAGCATCAAGTTCCAATTTTTTCTTCTTGGTGGTGCTGTTGATTGGGCTCGTCTTGGCTTTTATTCCTCTGGGAATCAGCATAGCACAGTAAGTGACTGTTCAACTTCTGTGACGTTAACATTTGTTCTGAGGTTGTCAGTTCCCTAAAAACAGGTGCACAGCTTTGGAATGGTACATTGGAATAAAACATATAGTGTATAATAAATGAAATTATAACTCCGTTCATATAAACAAAAATTACAGATTTAAAGGACACTTTTACCCATTGGCAAAATGGTGTTGGGCTTGTGTTAATTATTTTACTTTTACGTTTTGGTGTAGCATCTCCTTTCTGTTCGGCTTCTTTGACAGTATCCCCTCCTCCAAGGCATGTGGACCATTTAGGAGTTTTAACACTTCATGGGCAGTTGTTCCAGATACAATACTTGGGTTTCCAACGGGTCTGCAGCAGGTCCTTTACAGCATAGCATCAGAAGCCTTTGCAGTGCCTTTGTTTATCGTCATTTGGTGAGTACTGTAGAGACGTGATTCAGTCACGCACCCGCATGGGTCGTTTCCTTCTTTACTGAACTGATACCAAACAACTGTTAAACCACATTTTCCATCTGCATGCAGAAGCATCAAAGTCCGTATGAATCGTCAGCTCTTATGAGTGTGAACCCAGGGGCAGAGACATGAGCTTTATTCCATTTCCTCTTGCACGTCCTACACTTGGCTTTTTCAAAAGTGTTAACTGTGAATGAATCATTCTGCAAATGAGCGTTGGAAGACCTGTAATCACAAATCCTATCCACAAACCTTAGGGGGAAGAAAAACTCCAAAAAACAACCAAACCAACAACAAACCAACCCCCCAGACTAGTAATTCTGTAAGATAAAATTCAGTATAGGATCATGGAACTTGTAAGGTTGGAGGTCACATGTAGAGATCACCTAATCCAATGCTCCTGTTCAGAACAGGGTCAAGTGGAGCAGGTGCTCAGGAACCATGTCCCGTTAAGTTTTGAGTATCACCGGCGATGAAGCACTCCACAACCTCTCTGGGCAACCTGTCCCAGTGTTTGGTCACTCTTGCAGTAAAAAGGTTTTTTTCTTATGTTTAAATAGATGATTTTTTAAATTTCATTTTAACCTGACTGTTTTCAGATCTTGGAGCCTTGTTACCTGGTGTTTCTCCAGCACAGAAGTTGTAGAAAGTCATGCAGTGTATTTCAGACTCCACCAGGCCTTTCTTCCGTGACACTTTTATGTGTTCTGAGCTGAACCTGTAATTGCATACACAGGAAATACCAAGTCCTCTTTTCTGATTTTTTTCTTTATCATAAAGCCTGCGTAAGAAGTGGAGGATGACTTGCACTGCTACCCTACTACATATTATTTGGAAAAGAAAATACATGATCTATATAGTAATTTTTGCCATTCTAGTTCCTGCTACTGTTCTTCGTCATTTAATGCACTGCAGATAATCTGGGTCACAGATTACATCTGGGGTATGTGCTCTGATGAAAGGCTGCAATACTGATCTGTGGCTGCTTACCATAGTTACAAACCCCAGTGGGAGTAAAGAGTTACTCCAGTGAAACCTCATTAAGCTTAATTTCTAAGGAGCAAAGCCCCATGCATGCACGTAAAGCAGGGCAGGAACTGAGGGTAGAGGGGGCTGTCAGGATTGTCAGGCTGTCACAACCTGCAACACCTGAATGTGGCTGTGCCTCTGCATCCTGTAG